ACAGATGTGAGGTGTAAGTGTTGTCTTCTGAGACTCTAAAGCAAACAAAGGGGAAGGACTGAGGCCTCAGGTGGGTCCCCGGGGAGGGTCTCCCTGAGAAAAGACATTAGACTGTTAAATTGATAGACCTGGGTCCTAAGATCAAGTCCCATTTGTGTCAGACTTCTGAGCATATTCTTTCCTTCTGTGAACTTTGGTGTCCTCATGTGTAAAGTGATCTCATGGGTGGTATCGAGAGATAACCACAGTGTCTTCAATGTCTCCGAACCCTGACCAAGCATGCGTTAGCATCTCTGGACATACGATTGAACTGTAAAGATTGTCACTTCCTAGGCCCTGCCTTGATTTTATGAACCAGGATTGCGGGGGGGGAGGGTCAGAAATCAGAGTGATCTGGGGACCCTCATAGTCCTGCCTCCTCGTTTTCCTGCTGAAACCTCCACTTAACTATTTCCTGGATGTTTAAAAGAAAAAGAAAAAAATCCAAACTGCTTTCTCAGCCTACTGGGCCCTTCATGGTGGGTCTTGACTACTTTTCAACTTTTGCTTCCCAGCTCTGCTCTGCCCCGCCCCACCCTCTCAACGTCACCACCTCCACCCTTTCTGTACCTGGAGTTTGCAGGGCCCATTAGCAAAGCCCTTGCACATTCCTTGGCCTGGAATGTTTCCCCTGAATCCCTGCAGGGCTAGTACTGTCCAGTGTTACCACCTCTGGGGGGCTTTTGCTGACCATTTGCTGTGAAATAGCTTCCCACTGTCACTCTGTTACAGGAGCCTCTTCTTATTTTCTTTGTGGCTCTGGGCATCTGAAACCTTCTCTTTCGTTTATTTGCACTCCTTGCTGTGTGCCTGAGGACATGCTTAAGCTCCATGCATGCGCTTCCTGTGAGGTGTGGCTCGGGCTTCAGCAGAGGTGAGGCATGGCTGTGGAACCAGGTGTGGCAGCAGCCCGGGTGGTGGCCAAGCAGTGCCTGGGAGATGGGGTTACGCTGAGGTCTGTCTCTTCTTCCCCTGGGAGTCTCAGGGTTGTTAGGAAATAATGAGATGATTAAATCATGGCATCTAAGAATCTCAGCCTCTCCCAAACTCAGAACTGAAGCATCTGAGCAACTTTCCCACTCAGAACCTTTGACACTTTGACCATGATCCCATCTTCAATTCTCACAGCTTTATTTATGTAGCTACAGAGTGCTTACTTCATGCCAGACTCTGTTCTGCAAGGCTGTGCGCATGTGAAAATACAGAGTTCTCATTGTTATCCCATTTCGAAGGCATGGAGAGATCAGGGAACTTAGCAGGGGGCACTTGCTGGGCCTGGAACCCAGCACTCTGCAGCTGCTCGGGATCCCACAGCTGATGTGGGGAATCCCAGCAGCACCTGACCCCCCTGCTTACATCCTGACCAAAGGACCTCTGCTCTCTATTTGAACTCCCCTCCTGTGAGCTCACTCCTTCCCAGGACCCTTGTTACCCATGACAGACAGCTGTCCCTGCTGGGACACCATTTCCTCTGTCAAAGTATAGTGCTGCTGCATCTTCCCGGTGACTGACTCTGGGAAGTGATGTTAGAGCTATGGTTTCCCAGAGCTTTGACCCTGTGGTTCCTCTTCAGTGGGTCAGTCTGGTAGCGTTGGTGCAGTGTTGAACATCTGAGTGAATAGGTGCATAGAGACTGCTGCGTGCTTGGTATTTTCCTGAGCCTCTCCTGTTTCTGTGGCCTCATGCTGGCACTCATCTGGGGATTGCTGGACAGGCTTGGTGTCCTTAGGGAAAGGAGACTCACCTCTCCCATAGTCTGTATCTTGTATAGACAAACTCCTTATCCACTGGGGAAAATGCTGGGAAAGGGAAGAGGAGTGGGCCTTGTCTAAGGCCGCATGTGCCTCCCAAGGCTTTGCCTGGTAGCCTTTCTGCTTCTTGGGCTCCAACGGGCTGCCCAGCCTCTGTCTGGGGATTCAAGGGCTGGAGGAAGCCCTCGGTGAGGTAGCTGTGTCCCCTTCGGTACCATTCTCTCCTCCATCATGGGCAGTGTTTTTGGAGCACAAGGCTGTCTCTGGCACTGAGGAAGCTGGCTGTTGTGGAAATACATTCTGGCTGTGGCATGGAAATGGCTTTCTAGAGCCCAAGAGCAGAGGTGGCCTTTGGAGACTGGGTCAGGCTTGGGGAAGTGGCTGCGTAGTGTTGTTAATGGATGAAGTGTGAGGGGCAAGCTGAGGGTCTTGGCTCCCTACGAGTCCCAGCCCCACTTAGTGACCAGCAAGGGTGCTCCCTGTTTTGAGTTTGGGGCAAAAGCTTCAGGCTCCTGGGAAGATAGTTTAGTTAGCCAGGTACTAGGTTCTGTGGGGGGACACTGGGATGGGTGGGTACACTCCCCAACACACTCAAACACATTCATAAGTATACAATCAGCTATTCCACCACAACTCTTTTTTTTTTTTTTTTTTTTTTGGTCTTTTTGAGACAGGGTCTCCCTGTAGCACCAGCTGGCCTGGAACTTGCTCTATAGACCAGGCTGGCTTTGAACTTGCAGAGATCCGCCTGCCTCTGCCTCCCAAGTGCTGGGACTAAAGGCGTGCGTCACCACGCCTGGCTCTACCACAACTCTTAATCTCACCTCCCACCCCGTTTTTGCTAGTTTGGGGTATTCCTGTGATATTTCAGAAATATGACCCCAGATGCTTAGACTGTTGGATCTCCTGGTACTGGAGTTATGGACAGTTGTTAGCTGCCATGTGGGTGCTGGGATTCGAACCCGGGTCTTCTGCAAGAACAGCCAGTTGTCTTAACCACTGAGTCAGCTCTCCAGCCCACATTCAGCAATATTTTTTTGAGTACTCACTGTATCCCACTAGAGGCAGTGGTGGAAAACACCCATACATGTGTGGCTCTTACGATTTTGGGTTTTGGTAAAAGCTGGAGAGAAGCAACTTTAGAAGAGCTTCCTTATAGCTTTATCATTTTTAGATTTGCTGTGCCAAATGCTGCTGCTGATGTTGGGGAGAAGGGAAAAGAGACAGCAGGAAGTGACCCCTGGTCCCTAACCTACGTTTTTCAGGTGAAGGGCATTCCAGGCAGATGGAGCAGCCTGGGCAGAGACCTGAGGTGTGAAATCAAAGAACATGGGAAGGCAATAGCCTGAGAAGCCCGAGGGTGTAAGTGACCAGGTGGGATTGACCAAGCTAGTGTGGTATCATTTGTAATAAGTCTTACCTGCCCCGACCCCCACCTACATAACCACCCAGCCCTTCTACTTGACGTCCACCCTATCTACTGGCCTTTATGCAGGCCTGAGACTTGCCTAATTTGTCCACAGGTTGCTTTTTAGAGGGGGTGGCGATTGGATCTACTGCCTGGAAGGGCTATGATCACATGCTGAGGTTCCTAGGCTGGGACCCTTGAAAATTGTCTGGAATGACAGGTGGATCCATGTCAACAGAACAGCCCTGGGGTGGGGGAGTCAGGGAAGCCACAGGAAGCTCCTATACCCCCAGATGATAGAATGTTGAGAAAGTCTCCCTTGTGCTTTAGAGTACATCACTGGCAGTTAGCATGTGCAGTCACTGAGTAACACTGGACCAGGCCTTAAGCATGTTAAACCATGTAGTCTTCATAGCAGTCCTGTGGCAATATATCACCACCCCAGGTTACAGATGACAACTCAGGTCTGGGGTTTGTACACACCTCTAGGGATGAATGTGACCAGCAGGAACTTGCAGAGGCCTTGGCCGAGCAGTTGTGGGTTAGGACTCTTCCCAAAGCAATGGGAGAATGAGTGACAGGCGGGCTGGACCGTCCCTTGGTCTGTCTCCTGCCTGAGCCCCTGGATATAATGGGGCTTGAGCTCTTTCCTAACTGCTCATTTTACTGGGGATTGCAGTGGGACCTGTAGCCATCTGTCCCGGGGAAACTTGGAGGGCTTTCAGTCAGGACCCTCTATGATTCTTTGGACAGGAGACTGGGGTGCCTTGCTTTGCCAAACACAGCTTACTAAAGCTTTAATTAAAAAAAAAAAATACTCCTTAAGATGGTCACATAGCCACACTGTAGAAGAGTCATAAAAGCAAGGGTATGAAATACGTCAGCCCCCAGTCCCATCTTTGCCTAGTTCCCAACCCCCACTGGTAGCATTCGGGTTTTCTTTTCTCTTGGCATCTAGTTTTTATATAGTTGTCACTGCTTTATGTATGTATGTCATTTTATTTTTACTTTTCCTCCTAACCATTGTATCATGAGTATTTTTTTTATATTTTATTATTTATATATATATATGAATGTATATCCTGCATGTAAGTGCACCCATGTTCTGCAGTGCCATCAGAGGTCAGAAGAGGGTGTCAGATTCTTCTGGAACTGGAGTTACAGACAATTGTTAGCTGCCACATGAGTGCTAGGAATCAAACCCAGGTCCTCTACAAGAACTGCCAGTACTCTTAACCGCTGAGCCATCTTTCCAGCCCCCAAGTATTTTCTTTTTTTTAAAAAAATGATATTTTTGTTTTATGTGTATGAGTGTTTTGCTAGCATGCATGCAAGTACTCTGTGTGTGTGTGTGTGTGTGTGTGCATGCGTGCATGTGTATGTGTGTGTGTGTAGTGTCCATAGAGGGCAATGGATCCCCAGAGTTACAGAAGGTTGTGAGCTGCCATGTGGGTGCTGAGAACTGAATCTGGGTCCTCTGCAAGAACAGTTTGTGCTCTTAACCACTCTGCCGTCTCTTCAACCCCATGAATATTTTCTAACTGGTGTTATTAACTGCTCTTTTTACTGGGTGTGGTGGCAAGGTGGGAAAGCTGGGCTCTGGAGCCCCCAAGGTGTGGGTTCAGGACCCACATTTAGACTTGCTTAGTGTGGGCAGGTTCCTTAGTCTTTGTGCCCTGGTTCCTGATAGGCTCATCTGCATGGTGAACAAGTCACACCAATGCCAGTAGCACCCTGGGCTGTGTCAGAGAGGAATGTGATTTAGGACCTATCTCCCGATTGCTTAAAATTTCGACTGCTCTAGGATTTTGTTCATAAAAACCCATGGAAGCAAGTGGTGCTGTATGTACAACTTTGGGTTATTTTCTAGGGATGAGTGACCAAGAATGGGCTCACTAGGCCAGGAGGTCTGAATAGTTTTAGTGCTCTTGGCACATTATGGGCAGATCGCTTTCAGAAAAGATTGTTGGAATTTACACTCTGACTGATAATCCACGGGAGTGTCAACCTCCCCATACCCTTACCAGAATTGGGTGTTACCATGTTCCTAGTTCTTTCTGCTCCTTTGACAGGTGATGTTCATTGGCTTTTCATGGCTAGTGAGGCAGAACCATTGACTGTGTTCATCAGCTGTCCACATCTTCGGGGGTCAGTGCACATGCAGCCCCTCCTCGTGCCAATCAGGAACCAACAAGGACCAGTGTATTGCAGGGGGATTCAGACAAAGGATGGTGTTTTCTTCCATCCATCCATCCATCCATTCATCCATCCATCCATCCATCCACCCACCCACTTAGCAGACACTGCCCAATTTAAATGACCCTACTCTGATGCTTTCTGATAGAGTACCATGTCTAGAGATGGCTAAGAAAACATGTGCCCTGATGGGTTGAGTCACATTCAGGGTACATGGGGAACAGCACCCAGGTGGGCTATGCAGACCCGACTGTCTTCCAGGAGGAAGTGCCTGTGCATGAGGACCTACATGAGGAGTTGGATTAACCAGTGAGGTGAGGCAGGCAGAGAATCCTAGGGAGGGGACCTGGTATCTTTGATGGGAGGAAGCAAAAGGGAAGTAGAGCACTTGGGGACAGAGGGACTGTCAGGCTGGCTTGGTCAGGGAGGCCAGAGGGTAACTGGCTGGGCACATAGGACCCAAGCTGTTCTCACTGGGTCTGCAGGGAAGTAGGGGGCCATGGAAACTTCTAGGCAGGACAGGGTGCAGTGACTGCAGTAGAGAATTGGGTGGGGTTAGGGTGGATGGAGGTGGAGAACCTGTGGGGAGGCTCCTGTGATAACTGAGGCCAGAGTTGAAGAATCTGGACCAGAGTATAGGTTGAGGAGCAGATGCCGGTTTTGTGCTCTCCCCACACCTGTAGAATCCTAACCAGGGTCAAATTGCAGATTGTTCTGCCTAGTCCAAGAAGTCTTCCTGACATTCCCCCTACCCCGGTCTTGGGGAGGATGGGACTGTGAAGGGGCCCCATCAGCTAAGATGACTTTCACATGTGTCTTCCTCTGGTCCCTGCAGCTGCCTGCCCTCGGGCTCCCAAGCACTTTCTTTTAATTTTTTAAGAATAAATTTATTGTTTTCATTTAAAAAGCAACTGAATACCAAGGCTGAGAATTTGGAACTCAGAAAAACAAAGACAAAAACCCCAGAAGCAGCAGGGCAGCCCGGCTCGGACTCCCAGGCCCTCTGGGCGGGGTTGCCTGCAGCCAGTTTTCTGACGCAGGATTTTATTTTTGCCTCCTTGTAATCACAGTGTCCGGGCAGTCTGGGTCTTGCTCTCTGGTCTGCTTTGTTGGGAGCCTGTTTCCATGTGACCATGGGGCCTGGGCAGATCTCAGTTTTAATTTCTGTGGCTTTGAGAGGTGGGGCCTAAATTGTTTAACTGACAAACCCCCACCCACTTCCTCCACCACTTCTTAACATCCTTCCAGGGCTGTGTGTCCTCTGTGTCCTTCTGTCTAAGTCTGAGCCCTCTCCCTGTGGCAGAGCCTGGCACCTGGTATGCCTCTTCCTCTGTCCCCCTCTCTTCTTTTTGGAGTTTGTTAAGCTAACCTCAGAGGTATTCTGGGAAAAAGTGATAGAGGGACCTCAGCTCTGTAACCCTCGTCAGGTTGTTCAGCTTCTCTGAGCCTCAGTTTCTTCATCTGTACAGTGGTCTATTGTAGCACTAAATAATGGCTATAAACATCCTGCCACAGTTCCAGCCCATTGTAAGAGACCACCTTGGGTCAGATGCTGGACCTGGTAGAAGAGCACCAGCCTACCTAGGAAGAGTTCATAGACTTCCCCAGTCATCAGAGAAAGAGACCACACCAGAGTGCATTTGACTCTGAAAGGCTGTGCCAGGTCTGAATGGCATCCCACCTCCCTCACTCACTTGTGAGCAAGTTGGTTGATCTGAGTTGTACTTCTGTTAAGTGCATATATTCATTGGGAAGATTCAGTAACTTGAATCAAAACATACTCAGCTCATCGGTATTGAAATCAACGGTGGCTGCCATTTTATTATGATGATTGTTATTGTTATTCCCATATACAAGGTGCTGTTGGGATCACAGAGGAAGTGACTGACTGGGGGTTCAGGGAAAGCTCCGTAGAAGAGGGAACACTTGAGCTGGGTCTTGAAGGATGAGTAGAAGTTCACCAAGTGGGAAAGGACCCTCTAGGTAAGGAGCCTGTGATTCCAGGCTACGGTCTGTCAATGAGGGGTTTGTTCTATGGGGATCACTGAACCGTGTTCATGAGTCCTACGTGCCCCTCACTGCTGCCCTCGGGGTGTTTTGGGGGAGGTATGCTCACCCTTAGTCCTGCTGGCTTTGGTTTCCTAGTTCCATGGGTCCATACTTGTGGGCACAGGTCTGTGTCTGTCTCTTGTCTGGGTTTGGTGCTGTCTGCATGTTGTGACTCTGTTTGTCTGTATTGATGTCCACAGACCTGGGTTGCACTGTGGGAACAGCCTACACACTTCCCTGGCCACCAACTTCACCAAGAAGCCAGGCCCCATTGGCCACTTTCCTCTGGCCTCATACCTCCCTTCTCCAGGGCCTCCCAGTGGTGAATCTCCCTGCTGCCCACTTCCTGGTCTCTCTAGAACCTTCTGTGTACACACATGTCTGGACTCTTGGCCCAGGATCCGAGGATCAGCTCTGAGCTGGGCCCTGGCTGATGGTCCAGCATCACCTCTGTCTGCCAGTCTATCTGGGAGGCCCCACACCTCTCACACTAGTGCACTTCTTGCCTATAGGCTGGCCTTCTTCCTGAATGCCTGCCCCAACTCATGTTTGCCTGGCTCTCTCCCACTCACTCTTTCAGGCAGGGAGCAAGCCTCACCTCCCTCCTGAGAGTCCTCCCTACTTTATCTCAGCAGGCTAGCTTGGGCATAGGCAGCATATCCTTCATTTGGGAGCAAGGCAAGTGACTTGCCCAAGTCACATAGCTGATGAGTCAGAGTCAGGATTTGAACCCAAGCCTGCTGTTTCTTGGTGGGATTGGGTGTCCATGACCAGGACTGGTGGGGAGATAGGAATGGGTTGGAGAGAGAGTCTGGTAATGGTCTGGTGGTGGGTGTGAAGTAGTAGGGTCACTATGTGTCTGTGAGCCTCTGGGTTCAGAGATGGGTGACTAGAGGAAGGGCTTGCCACAGGAGGTGGTCAAGGCCAGCACAAGCCTGCTGGGGGCTGAGCAGCTGGTGAGAGACAGCCCAAGGGAGGGACAGTGGCAGGGGCATGGGGGAACTGGGCCTGAACCCTGGAGATGGAGGCTCAAGCTTACCTGGTACTTAGAGTCCCAGAGTGGGTGGGCCACTGGTGCTGAGCTGTTGGAGACTAGGGGTCCTGCCCTGTTCTGAGGAGCCCACTGTGGGGGCTGGGGGTCCTGCCCTGTTCTGAGGAGCCCGCTGGGGGACCTGGGGGATCCTGCCCCATTCTGAGGAGCCCGCTGGGGGGCCTGGGGGGGCCTGCCCTGTTCTGAGGAGCCCACTGTGGGGCCTGGGGGGTCCTGCCCTGTTCTGAGGAGCCCACTGTGGGGCCTGGGGGTCCTGCCCTGTTCTGAGGAGCCCGCTGGGGGGCCTGGGGGGTCCTGCCCTTCTCTGAGGAGCCCACTGTGAGGGGCAGGGAACAGTGAAAGCAACCAAGAAGGTGAGGAACCTCAGGCACTAGGACCTCCCTGTGGTCCCAGGTGGCTGACCAGCTCTGACTGGAGGTGTCAGGTGATGTGTGGAAGGCCTCAATAGGTGAGAGCTCTTTCCTGCAGAAGCCCGAGGGTCCCTGTCTGCTGCCTCCCCAGCTTCAGAAGGCTGGTCAAACTCAGCTGGCCCTGAATTCCCCAGAGCAGGTCCCTGGTTTGGTTGAAGGATGTGTCTGAGTAGGTATCAGTGCATTAACCAATAGGCTGGCTGCCATCAGGAAGCTGTTTTTGAAGTAGCTTCAGGAGGCTTGTCATCCGTCACCAATCCAACTTTCTTTACCTTTTAGAACAAGAAAATCAAAATGAATATTGTGGGCCAATTGTGAGGGTCAAGACACAGCTCTAAGCTCAGTCTGGCTTTGCCCTGTGCATAAGCCAGCATGTCTCCTCTGCCCATCCTGCATGGGCATTGAGCCCTGGCCCTGCAGGCTCCTGCCTCCACACCACTCACACTCCCCCTAACCTCAGTGCCTACTCTGCCACATTGCTCCCTTGGCCTAGCGTGCTCCTTACTGCGTTCTTCCCCACAGGCATCCTGTCCCACATCTCAGCTTGGCATTCAAGGCCCTGCTGCTGGCCTTTGTCCTGTGCTACCTTGGTACTCTCTAGCGCTCTCTAGTGCCCGAGGAGGTGCTCATTCTTCTCCACACCTCTGCTCGAGCTTTGTCTCTGCCAGGGATGTCCTTGGCCTCCATCTGGCCTGCACACACACCTATTCTGGCCTTCCTCCTGCTTCACATTCTTGGGGCAAGATTGGTAACCTAGTGAAGATCCAGCTTCCTCAGGGCTTACTTACATGCCAGCGAGTACCAGACAACGGTGAGAGCCGTCTGTCTGTCCCCTGCATCAGGCACAAAATAGGTGTCAAGGTGACGGGAGCCAAGGTCATTGACAGATTCAGCTAGAGAAGACTGCAGAGTGACCAAGAAGGGGCTGTGTGGAGCAGCCCATGTACCCTGAGCAGAGCCCTCCCCTTGATGTGATCAGCTCTGCAGCTGAGGCAAGGGCTGTCTTGGGCTCCTCGGACTTGATAAATGGTAGAGGAGGTTTTATCCCAAAGCCCTCATCTCTCTGACTGGGCTGGGGGCCTGGGAAACTTGAACTTGGCATTGAATTAGGGCAGAGGAAGAGGAAGGAAGGGATGGCTTACCAGAAATGTCTGGGAAGCAGCCTAGTACAGTGGGCAGTCCTGGGCCAGGGCAGCCTGTCTCACCCCATCTTACTGATGAGGAAAATTGAGCCCGGGGAGCTGCATCCAAGCCTGCAGTGCAGTACAGTGCTATCTCCTGCTACCTGTCCTTGGCGATCCATGCAGCCTGGAGCAAGACTTCCCCTTTGATGTCCTGGAGTTTTCCTTTGTGAAATGGGGTGGAGGCTCTTCCCTGCTTGTCATCCTCCTGGGGTTCTAAAGAGCTGTCCCCACTCCACACAGAAGAGCTTTGTAGCTTTGAGTGGTTATAAAGCAGGTGGACTTGCCTTTAAGAGCATTCTGAGTCTCTGTTCATTCCTTCATGCAATTCACAGTGATGACCTCTGGACCTGGAGGCCAGGGATACCCAGATGAATAAGAAGACAGGAGTATCCCATTCTCAAGCTCCCTTGGGTTAGCTCCCCAGTTCTCTGTTTCCCCAAATCTACCTTGTGTCCACTCGTATGGTTACAACAGTGCCATCCTAAGGTAGGACATACCCACAAGCCTGCAGTCAAGAGGCTCTGTCCTGGACCAAAGCACTGGTCGGGCTGATTATAGTGGAGTCTCAGCTCTATGCTCACTTACTGTGAGGCCTTGAGCAAGTCACTCTACCTCACGTGCAAAAATGGGCATGGCAAGAGTACTTGCCTTTCAGAGTCCATGTGCCTGGCACAAGGTGGGTACTTGTCATTTGCAGCCTTCTCACTTGTATTATTTTGAGATTTTTCTCAGTTCCAAAGGTCTGGGGCAGTTAGGGAGAAGGGCAGACAGAACATGTTTTGTTTTTTGTCTGTAAGGGGTTTGGATAGGTAAAGGGAAGGACATCCTGGTGCCAGTGGCTAGCAGGAGGCTGACAGCCAGGAGTAGGCCTGGCTAACCCCCAGGAGGATTCTCTACCCTAGCCTAGCAGGCACAGACCAAACCCTCCCCAGGCAGGGAATAAGGACTGAGGAATAAGGAGTGAGGAGTGGGAATAAGGAGTGAGGAATTTTGCGTTTAGACTTGGAGCTATTTGCGTGTTGGCTTTTGCTTTTCCTAGGGCTAGAGTTCACAAAGCAAATGGTTCAGGGGAACCAACCTGAGTCGTCTGACTTCAGCATCCTAGCCCTGTGATGTCGCCATTTGTGCCTGCATTTCAAGTAAAGATCACGGGAGATAATTCACAGAATTCTGAAAATGTTCGGATTAGGTTGTGTCTTTTTTGAGGGCGTTTTACTCAAACTCTGTGTCTACAATTCAGTGGGGATTTCTCAAGCTCATTGGTGGACGCAGGCACTTCATTTGGGGCTTAAGCTATAGTACCAAGTAGGGAGGTAATTTCTGAAAGAGGGTTCAGAGTAGGTTGGATAGGGAGCAGCGCTTAATGGAATACACCTGTGTAGCCCAGAGCCTGTAAGTAGCTGCTTAGTCTAGAATCACAGAACGCCCACACCCTCTGGAGGACAGAAATAGCCTTGTGGTCTTCCTACTGCCCAGGTTACAAAGGTTACTGAAGGACTATCATGGAACTTGCTTGTCCCACTTTTACTAAAGAGCTCCACACTACCCCAGCCTCTGGTCTCCTCCAGCCCAACCCCTTAAGCACAGTACTCTGGTACCCCATCTTTTTAGGTCTAATGTTATACAACCCACTCATGCCTGTTCTTTCCAGAGCAATTTCTTGAGTCAAAGGGTATGCCTTTTTGGGTCTCTATAAGTGGTCATACCAACTCCCTGTCAGAGAAGCTTATTCTGCTGACCTCTTGTACTCTGATGAGGGCGTCTTCACTCAGGGAAAGGAGGCAGAGGGGCAGAGATCCCCAATGGGTAGTTGCTTCTTCTTTGTGGCTATTTACAAACGTGTCCCCAGGACTCTCCAGTTTATCTCTGGATGGGGGAGGGGTTCCATATAGGGTCCATGGCTCTGCATCCTAGAGCCCTCCTGAGGGATGGAAAGGGGTCTGGCAGCATTAGGATGCCTGGGGAGGACTGGGAGTTCTCTGGTCTGCATGTGACCTTTGCCCTCTGAGGCCCACTCAGGCAGACAATAATGGATGTGGTTTCCTGGGCCTGCTGGAAGGCTCAAGGGGGTCAGGGGATCCTATAACTGACCTGAGCTTCCTGGTGACAGCCTCTCTTTTCACTACAGGATGGCTGAGCCTCGATTTAACAACCCCTACTTCTGGCCCCCTCCTCCCACCATGCCCAGCCAGGTAAGACTGGCATGGTCCCTCCTGCTGCCTTCCTGGTTGGAACTGCTTCACCTTGCCTGGGGTGTGAGCTGTGGCTTGTGGGGCTAGGGCACAGGGGCCAGTGCTGCCCACCTTCCCGAAACCCAGCTCTTCTCCCTTCTGCAGTTGGACAACCTGGTCCTGATTAACAAGATCAAAGAGCAGCTGATGGCCGAGAAGATCCGGCCACCTCACCTGCCACCCACATCAGCCTCCTCGCAGCAGCCACTGCTAGTGCCACCGGCACCGGCAGAGAGCAGCCAAGCTGTCATGTCGCTGCCCAAACTGCAGCAGGTGCCGGGGCTGCACCCGCAGTCTGTGCCGCAGCCTGATGTGGCATTGCATGCGAGGCCGGCCACCAGTACCGTCACAGGTAGGCTGAGTGCGTATGTGGGAGGGGGAGAATTAAGATGGGAGGGTGGGTCTGGGGGTGGGCAGAGAATGTTGAGGCAGATCTGATCCAGGTGGGGACTTGGTGAGGGTCGAATCTGGCTGGGTGAGAATGGGGTGAATGGATAGAGGTAGGGTAGGGCTGGTGGGCTAGTCACACTCCCCAGGCACCTTCTGATCTTAAACTATGAGGATCCTGGGTTTGTCACTGTCATCTGGATGATCGCTAGAAAGCCAGATCCACAGAGAACTCAGAACCCCCTGAAGAAATTTGAGCAGATTTTGGGGACGAGAGAAGACTTCCTTGGAGAAGAAAATGCAAAGAAAGGCTGAAGGCAAATTGCAGCAGTGGAGCAGGAAGAGTCCTCTTAGAGGGAGCACTGTGTGGAAGGCCAGAGGCCAGGCTGTCTAGTCAGGGATAATGGCGTGGCAGCCGCCGCTGCAATTTCAGTTAGTGTCTATGTATGCCTAATAACAGCCACCACTCACAGCCGGTGATGTTGGCGCTGCTGGTGTAGGTTGAACAATGGACAGTTTTTGATTTATAAAACAGCAGTTTCATGTGGTCCAGCCTCATGTCTCCATTCAACAGATGAGAAAACCAAGGCAGAAGAAACCAAAACCATGTGAAACCAGTTTCATGGCTCTTAAGAGGCACCAGCAGGCAGCATATCTTAAGCCTTTTCTATGCCCTGCTGAGGCTACGAAGAAGCAGGCACCAGACGGAGAAGAGCCTGTGCTCCACATTCGGTTTGCACTTTACCCTGGAGCAGTGGGGAGCCACGGAAGGGTTTTTAAGTAGGGGAGCTGGAAATGCCCAGGGTTGGGGTTAGAAAGCTACATCTGGCTGAGGTAGAGTCTGGGTTTTGGGGGGCCAACATGGAAGTAGGGAGACTTTCTGGAAAAGATAGCCAGGTGGCCCATGCAGTGGCCATGGGGATCCAGAGAAGAGGAGAGATCTGTGGTACAGGGAGAAAGAGTGGAGGGGACTTGGTGCCGGACAGGATGTAGAGGGTGAGGAGAGGGAGGTGTGTGCGAGACTCCCAGGATTGTGCTTCTGGGAGGGATCAGCTGAAGAGCAGGCTCAGTCTTGAGTAAGTTGAGACTAGGGTGTAGGGGCTGGGAGGTGTCAAAGGGCTGAGCTATCTGCTACCCTCTTCAGAGCCTGGGGACAGGCCTTCTCAGGAGCCACTGCAGCTGGGTCTCTGTTCCCGAGTGGCTCACCTCTGCTGCCAGCCTAGTGCCTTCTCTCCCACCTCCTAGAGATGCCTAAGAATTGTGGGCCACGTGAGCCTCCCCAGGCCCCAGCTGCATTCTGCACACCTCCCGCTACTATGATTTTATTAAATTTATTTTTCATTGTAAAAGTAATATTAAAAAAGCAATATAAGCATATTAAGGGAAATTTGGAAAAAGGAGGAACTGAGAAAAACAATTACACATAATCTCCAGTGCCTGGCCAGAATCTCAGACCCTTTGCTGTATTGCTTTCCTTTTTCACATATTTTGTTTTTTAATATGCGTGTGTGTTTTGCTGTGTTTGTGGCAGGGCTGTGCCTGTGATTTAACTTGTTTTTTTTTTTTT